TGCTTTGCTAAACACGGGGCGACTGATGCTAGTTTGAACAGCTGCGGCTGGTGCAAGCTACCATCAGTCGCTCCGTGCTCATCAAAACAAGTCTGGGGAGGTCCTTTGCGGGCAGCCAGTCTAGCCGCCTGCAAAGGACTTCCCCACGTTTGCTTTGAAAGAAATCTCTGCGCGGCAGTTAGAAACTGCTGCGCGGGGTTTTCTTGCCATGTGCGCAGCCGCGCAGCTTAGAGGGAACAGTGCAGTCGGGTCCAGCTGTATTCACACAACATGCTTGATGTGGCCACCAAGGTAGCTTCCTTTCTGAGTTTGCACAGTGCAGGGAACAAAAAGCTATTCAGAGTTATAAATAGCCAAGCCTCAGTTTGTGCAAATGCAGATATATAAGTATCTTGAGGGAGCACCACATTTATGCTGCAGAGTTGTAGGAGAGCAGGTGGGAAGAAGAGGCTCAGCCAGAAGTATAAAACACCCCATTAGCAGCTATTTAAAGGGCAGCCAAAATGCCACTCCTTGCAGATCACCCTTCGGGCAATGCCAAAGCCTTTTCTGCAGGGGAGAAGAGCTGTTGTGCCAACCAGCTGGCTGCTTGGCCGATCTGTGGGGGAGAACCTGCTTTTCTCTTGAAGGATGGCTGGCTTCCTGCCATTATCACCCCAGATTTCACCTTTCCTTATTTTCTGTTGCAGAGCAAGCAAGGAGACGTCACGAGTTCCCCAGCTTGGGGGCAATGCGGGGTCTGTGGTGGGCACCCCCCTGCAGCATTCCTTCCTGACCGACGTCTCTGATGTGTATGAAATGGAAGGGGGTCTCCTTAACCTGCTGAATGATTTCCATTCAGGGAAGCTGCAAGCTTTTGGTAATGTCTTTGATGCTGGAATATCTCTAGATTGTGTTGTGCTGGACAGAGAGAGAGGAGGCGGGTTTAAATCCTAAATTATCACTAATCTCGTCTAACTGGTTAAAAAAGGCTCTTAGCCATTTGTGAAATCAGAGATGAATTAAATGGATAATCAATTTTCTCCCCCTCCTTAGTTTCTCCCCTACCAATTCTCTTCTCTCTCTCTCTCTTTTTGTAAATATCATTTTTATTCAGCATTTTTAAAGAATAAAATCACAATTACACTTTTACAGCTTTCCGCTATCGGTATTCTTTTTTGCATTAACTTTACATCTCTTTTCAAGCCAATCATATCACCTATTCCATATCTTATAATACTCTCTTTCCTCTCTATCCATTAGTTCCATCATTAATTTATCTATTTCCACGCATTCTAGCACCTTTTTATGATCTCTTTGTTTCAGGGGATGGTTTTTTCTTTCCAGTTTTGAGAATGAATGAGATTCTGGCTGTGGTAATTATATGAGGCGTAATATATTTAATTCCTTTGCTTATATTTCCTTTTATTATTCCCAAAAGAAACAGATCACGCTTCATGTCAATTTTTTGTTCCGTTACTTCCTCCAACCATTTTTGAATTTTTGTCCAGAATTCATTAGCTTTGGGACATCTCTTACCTCTCTTACGTTAAATCTTGCATCTGCTTGTCAGTCCCTGGCTACCGATGCCCCAAACCTTGGCTAGGTGCATTTCTATCTCAAAGGGCTCCATCGTTAACAAACTTGTCTACATGGAAGAAGGTTGTCCTGTCTTTCTAATAGTTCTCTTGCTGCAACAGTTAACGTTCCTCAGACTTGGTAGGGATAAAAAAGTTGTCCCAGTATCAACTCTTTTGATTTCCCTCACAAGATGTGGCAGAGAAGCAGTGGTGGGTTCCGGATCCTATTACAACCAGTATGGCTGGAACGGGCCTGGTGTCGCCCACATGGACGTGTGCAATTTGCGTACAAATGCGTGTGGCACGCGCATGTGGCGTACCTGCCAGTGATGCCTCCACAAACCTATGCAATGCTCCAGCTGCTCGGCGGAGCGTCGTGGAGGCGCTGTATACACCATGTTCATGCACAGAAGCTTTGAAGGCTTAAAGGACAGGTAAGGAGCTCGGGCGGGCGGGTGGGCCCTCCGGAGCACTGTACTGGAACGGTACGTGGTGCTTCGGGCAGGCTCCGGTATGCCCGTACCAGCGCGTACCACCTGCAACCCACTACTGCAGAGAAGTTTTCCTTAGCAACTTACATATGGATTATATATGGACGTGTATATAAGCTCCAATGTTGAGGGGGCAGCAGAAATGAAATGTCAGTTAAGTGCAAGGCTTATGTTTCTTTGATACTTTAGTTTTGTGCTCCTAAGTCAGCATTTCTAAACCTTGGCAACTATGCTGGCGGGGGAATTCAGAGAGTTAGACCACATATCTTCAAGCTGTCAAAGTTGAGAATCACTGT